ATAAAGCAAACTAAATGTGACTATTTATTTTAAAACTGAAACATTGTTATAGATTCAAGGAGCTAATCTTGATTAAATTAACTTTTGGTAATGGGTGTTCCTCATGTTCCCTGTTCAGTCATAGTGACTATAATTGGCTTTTGTAACTAAAAAATATTCTAGTGAATTTTTTCCTAGAAAATATCTCTCACTTATATTTAAATTGACACTGTGAGCCTAACAACATCAGTCTTTTTTTGCAAAAATTCTCTTTGCCACAGTCCACCATTGTTATATAAAACGATTAAATGCACAAGAATGATCCACACTGCTGTTCTTGTATTAGGCTACTATAAAAATACCTTACAAAGTGGTGACAAATGTCCATGCCCAAATCAAGATATCACTGGTTTTAGTCTTATAATGGGATTTGTGGTTGGCTGGGGTTCAGCAGGAGGACTGGGTTGTCTAATACTGAGGCTCCCAAACTACGGCCCCCACGGTTCAGGGTGCAAATTCCAGGATAGGTAATATTTTGGCTGATAAAATGTCCGTGTTTAGGGTTAGGGTTTATTTGTCAAGTTATGCTTTCTTATACCTAAAGAAAAATATGTATCTGTTAGCGGACAGTCTGTCCAGTGTTTATTGGCAGATTATTTAGTTAGCGTCTTTGTCCATTCCCTGTGTGTGCTACTGGTTTGGCCAGCCAGTATATATGCTCATCATTTGTGGCATTTGTTAAGTCAGTTGGTTTTTTTGTTGGTTTTTTTTTAACCACAAACAAAATTCCATTCATTTCCATTGTAATTTGGTGGTGGGGATTTCAAAACATAACTGAAATGGTGGCTAGATACCTCTACCATTGGTGAACTGACCCTTTAAATGCTCAAAGGTTTCAATTTTACGGTCTGCTTGTGCCCATGAGACACTGAATGTTTAGATTATAACACTGATATCTGAGGCTGAGTAGATATCGGCTTGCTGACATTTAAATCTTTACTGGGTCATACAGTTTCTTGTACTTGAACTGTATCAGTGCACACCTTTGCCCGAGTTTCTTCCTGTACATAAATATTCCTGCAGCCATCTCACATCGTAAAAAAAATGAGATTAGACTGAAGTACTTCCTGCAAACACTGAGGGCGTCCTCGGAAGAAAACAACCACTGATCCCTGTAGAAGAACCACTGGCTAAATTTAGACTTAAGAGGTTTCGGGGCAGACAAGAACAATGGGATGCAGGAAGCAGGCAGGCAGGAGGAAGGTGAAGAGGGGATAAGGGTGGAGGAATAAGAAAAGGAAAACGTGAAAAGGGAAGTGAAAATAAGTTCATTAAAGGTGCTGGTCTTAAAAAGTCTCCTGCAAAGCAAATTTGCCTGAAAATGCTCAGTTGTTTAGTTGTGTACTTTGAATGTTAATTCTTCATTCCAAGGCCAAGTTAGTGTAAACAGGCACTGTAGCCCTCGCAAAAGTGATTGACTTTTTCTGGCTTTCAGTGGAACATTTTGTTTTCCATTCTGCTCTAAACCTTATTACTGAGCCTTTTCCCCGTGATGTGAATAGAATGTGCATGTGGAGAGAAAACTGCAGGGCTGAGTATGAAACAGTATTCAATTTTAAGGTAAATAATAGCAGCTGAAAATATCAGACTATTTCAACAATGTCCCCTGACCCTGTTGTTTGAATTCTTACTATGTTGCTGTGACATGATGATTTATGATGATTATTTGTGCCA